TCATATGTCTGATAACGGACTTGCATCCTGCCTGTAAAAGACATTTAAATTCAAAAATAAAAAGACAAGTAACCTAATTTAAAAAATGAACTAAGGATCCGAATAGACATTTTCCCAAATATGTACACATGAACAATAAGCACGTGAAAATATGCTTAATATTATGAATCACCAGGGAAAATGGAAATCAAAACCACAGGGAGATACCACTTCACACCTGCTAGGAAGGCACTCAGAAAAATGAATAGATGGTATCAACTGCTGGTGAGGATGGGGAGAAATTAGAACACTCACACTTCACTGGTGGGAATGAAAATGGCGCAACCACTATGGAAACAATCTGACAGTTTCCCAGAAGGTTAAACAGTAACCAAAGTGATCCAACAATTCTACTCTTAGATTTACACAAAGACATATGTCTACACAAAAATCCTATATGAATATTCATAGCAGCATTATTCCCAAGAACCCCAAAATGGAAACAACCCAAATGTCCATTAACTGATGCATGGATGAGCAAAAATATAGTATATCCATAGGACGGAATATTATTTGGCCATACTATGGAGAGAATAGAATATTAATATACACTCCAGAATGGATGAACTTCAAACACATTATGCTGAATGAAAGGAACCAGTCACAAAGGGCCATGTATCATATGATTTCTATGAACTGTGTAGAGCAGGCAAATTTGTAGACGCAGAACACAGATTAGTGTTCACCTAAGGATGGGGCAGTGAGGAAGTGGGGAGTGATTGTGATGGGGTTTCCTTTTAGGGTGATGGAAATGTTCTAACATGGATTGTAGTGATGGTTGTCTACTCTGTGTATAAATACTGTTGAATTATACATGTTAAGTGGGTTCACTGTATGGTAAGTAAAAACCATAGACTAGTTCTGGTAAAGTCTGCCCCCTCCCTCTTGGGCTCTGCATCTCAACGTCCAGGCTGCCTCACTGGACAGAGATGCTCTGTTGACTGAGGAGCATGGCAGCACCAGACACCTAGCCCTAGCCACCGTCTGCCTACAAGTTCATGAGTGACCCCTAGCAAGAGTGACAGAGGAACTGCCAGCTGAGCCCCAGGTAACCCACAGAATACTTAGATACAATGAAATGATGGTTGTTTAAAAGCCACCAGCTTTGAGGATAGCTTGCTACATAGCGAAACACAGTAACAAGTAGTCAGTCTTGCCTTAACTCTATGACCACATATTAGTACCAAAGTAAGTCCCGTGAAAGCATTTTTCTTAGAGAGGAACCTGTATAAGGGACATTATTTGATTTTAAGAAGAAATGAAATGAGGAAGGACTAAGGCTGGTGGGGGCATGTTTTACATGGCAAGCTACGTCAGTGCAGGCAGGCCTGCCAGCTGGTCTCTTTCCTAAAGCTCACATTGGCAATGGGGGCTAGCCAGCTACTTGTCCAGAGGCCACCAGCGACTTAGCAGGAGCTCTAGAGGTCTGGCAGGTCATGTTTCTGGTTACAAGAAGTGACATAAGTAAACCCTATCCACTTGTCCTCCCCACACCCAAAAGGAAAATCACTGAGCTAGAAGGGACAGAGTGTTATAAAGAGAGATAAAAGCCAGGTGGGTCCATCTATATCTTAAATGGAGACTGTCAACAGGGAAGGAATTCTAGATTCCCAATCCTGCGCCCGGCCATGACTTCCATATAACAGGACTCTGAAGATTCTGCTGGGAAGCCTGGAGGGAGTGCCAAGGAGTTTCCCTTGTCATTTCATAGCTGTTGGGCACAAATCCATCCTGCTCTGGGATAGACACCATGATTGATTAAGTAGTGTAACATATTGTATCTACCTCGTCTTTTGAACTGTAGAGCTGTTTCATTCACACTCAGGGATGATATCCCCAATCATGGATGAAAATGGCATTATACTCCTGAGAAAAAGGAGGCTGAAACAAAGAAAAGTGGCTTGTTTTATATCTCACAGCCAAGTGGTCTATTCCGAATAAACTTAAGTCTTCAAATTCCTAGCCCAACATCCTTTCCACAGCAGAATTGGCTTCTAAGTCTGAAAGCACTGAAAAAGCACATACTGTGAATGGACCTTCAGGTGTGGAGGTTCAATTACCCCAAATGAAATGATTAATAAATATGTATAACTTGCTTCTTAGCATGACTCTGAGCAAGTTTCCTACCGGCAACATTGAGTGCAATCATTTAATTTTTTCTCATATGGATGAGAATTAGATTTTGGAAATTCAGATACGATTGACATATAATGTTGTGTTAAAGACTGACATTTTTCTCATGTGGATGAAGAGGGGGTTGGATTTCTGTGATCGCTAAGGTTTTGTCCTGCTCTAGAGTGAAATGGTACAACTTGTGTTGCATATTCTTGTTAGTTTGAAAAGAAAATGAGGGTTTTTAAAGAAAAAAACTTTCATGCAGAAGATAGGAACTTATTAGGAATCGTTCTAAAAGAGGAAGATGACACAATGGTTTTGGTATTTTATGGGATTCAGTTTTCCATTGAACAAAGTTTTGTGGGTAAACGTGGTCCATAACCTAGTGGAGCTTATGAGTGAGTAGAGACAGTAGTCTTTAATCTGGTAATGACAGACTGTACAGGGAGCAATGAGATGGCCTAATGGAGACCCAAGGATAGCTGAGATAACAAAGGATAAGGAGTCAAGTAGTCTTAAGGAGTAGAAGAGTGGAAAGGTGGGGGAGACCATTCCAGCTGCAAGAATAACATATTCAGAGGCCCTGTGGCAGATGATATATGATATATTGAAGAGCTATAAGAAGACCATCTCTGAAGCACAATGAGGTCAGAGGTGAAGATGATCCTAAAGGGATAAAGGGAAAGATCATACATGCATTAGAGGCCATATAAAGGATTTCAATGTTTAGCCTCAAAGCAACCAGAAACTACTAAATTGTATTTTCATCAAGAGTAGGAACATTGAAACATTATCAGGTTTGAGTTTGAAAAAGATAAATTTAATTGCTGTGTCTGAACTTTGATGCTTGAGGTTGGGTTGCAAACAGGAGGGCATACATAGTAAAGTCTAATGAAGAAACCATTGTAATTGGGTTAATGGTGTCAGTGTTATGGACTAAAGTAGTGACAGCATTGGAGAGGGGAAGGCCTAGATCTATGAGTATGATTTGGGATATAAAATTCACAATTCATATGACTGCCTGGATGGGGGGAAATGAGGAACATGGAGGCATTGAGGATACTGCTTTGTTTTCTGGCAGGATGATGGAAGCACTCACTGGCACAGGACCAGGTTTGGAGGAAGAACCCAGGTTCAGGTCTGGGTTTGTTGATGTTGAGGTCTTTGAGATGTCTGTATGGATCCAAAGGTCTGGAGTTGGGAATATAGGCCTGATTCAGGAACATAATGTTGGGGATCTTTCGGACATGGATGGCAATTGAAGCCAGGAGGTTGAATGAACTTCCCTGAGAGACTGAGCAATAAGAAAAGAGGTATTTGGGGTACAGAATCTCAAGAGATTCCAGCCTTTAAAGTCCAGGGAGATGAGCAGGAGCCAATACAAAGATAACTGAGAAGGAGGTAGGAAGAGAGGGACAAGAGGGAAAGCAGGACACGGTAATACTCCTCCGCGAGAGGGAAATGTTCAGTAGCATCTAATGCTATTAACACCAGCCCAAATGGGGATCTTCAAAATGCCCATCGTATATGGATGCAAGGGAGAATACTCCAGCCCCCGTAGGAGTTTTTCGGGAGGTGTGGTGAGGACAGAAGCGAGGGCAGTTGGAGAACGCCGAAGAAGAAGGCGTGAGAAACAAGTTCTGTGGGAACGGGGGTGTTGTGAAGGGGTGGCTTACGTCAGCGCAGGCTACTGGAGCAAATGCCACAGACTGGGTGGCTTAAACAATAAACTCTCATTTCTCACAGCTGGGAGGCCGGGAAGTCCAAGATCAAGGCGCCGCATAGATCTGGGGTCTAGTGAGAGCCTTCTCCTTGGTGTGCACACAGTCTTCTCATGTCCTCGTCAAGAAAGAGGAGAAGGGAGTTGAGGGAAATTGGAAGGGGAGATGAACCATGAGAGACTATGGACTCTGAAAAACAATTTGAGGGTTTTGAAGGGGCAGGGGGTGGGAGGTTGGGGGATCCAGGTGGTGGGTATTGGAGAGGGCACGGATTGCATGGAGCACTGGGTGTGGTGCAAAAATAATGAATACTGTTACGCTGAAAAAATAAAAAATTAATTAAAAAAAAAAAGAAAAAGAAAGAAAGCAGAACCAAGATCTCTGTCTCTTCTTACAAGGGCCAGTAATCCTATCATGGGAGGCTTTATCCTCATGAAATAATCCCCCCAAAGGTCTCTGCTCCAATACCATCACACTGGACATCAACATTTCAGTATATGAATTTTGAGGGGACACAAGTATTCAACCTGTGATAGTTGTCTTGTAAGCCCAGTGGTTTGGGAAACTGAATAAGTCCTTGTGGAAAGAAATACTAACCTTTTTAGAAAGGCTGGGTCCATAAATTGCCCTTTTCAAGGTACCTAAATGGAATGCAGTCTGCTACTGTGGGTTTTGGATTACATTTCCAGGGCTTTGTTTTTCTTTTTTTCTTTTTATTTCTTTTTTTTTTTCTTTTTTCCTATTCTTGTCTCTTCTTTTCTCTTCTCTTCATTTCTTTCTTTCTTTTTTTTTTTTTTTTTTTAAGAAATCCCTACATCCAACGTGAGGCTTGAATTTACAACAATCAAGAGTTGTGTTCCCTATCGAAAGAGCCAGCCAGGCACCCCACCGGTTTTTGTTTTGTTTTGTTTTGTTTTCCTTTTCTCTCAATTACCAGGAGAAAATGCATCTTGTTCATTCCTGAAGCAGGTCCCTCTGTTAGAAATGACATGTGTAACAGCACGTAATGGCCACATCTGTCTAACAACTTGGCTGTGAGACTTTGCAGACACCTAGAATGTAGGATTTCAAAGGAGCAATTTTCCCTCCCTGTAGGCTTATTTTTCTTCCCTTCCTTCCTCCCAGGCTGATGAGCCCTGAAAACACGCTGCTGCAGCCCAGGGAAGAGGAAGGGGTCAAGTATGAGCGCACCTTCATGGCGTCGGAGTTCCTGGACTGGCTGGTCCAGGAAGGCGAGGCCACCACAAGGAAGGAGGCCGAGCAGCTCTGCCACCGGCTCATGGAGCACGGCATCATACAACATGGTGAGTGTGTGGGTCGGCTTCCACGGAGGTCACAGATGATCCTAAAATCATGTGGCTTACAATGGCACGTGTGTGTTTCTCACTCATGGGTTTGTTGTTCCTCTGTACGGGCCTGGGCTCAGCTTAGCCTGTCTCCAAACTGGGCTCAGGTTCAGCTGAGCTGGCCATGCGTTCTCGTGCTGGGACCCGGGCTAAAGGAACATTTACTCCTGGGGAGTAAATTGTTCTTATAGATGAGGCCGGAAGCTTAAAGAGGACAGGTGGATCCTTACAGCATCTCCAAAAACTTCTGTTCAGATGCGATGTAACATCCTCAACACCCGTATCCAGTTGGCTACAGCAAGTCCCCAGGTCCAGTCCAGATGGGAAGTAGATGTTTCTCACCAAGTTGGGTGCAAGGGGAGGGTACCATTTGCTGAACCACGGTACAAACCACCACAGTGAAGGATTCATCCAAAAGACCTCATAAGAGTTTGACTTTCCTTTTAGGGCTGACTCATAATGATGATGGCATAACCTATTGGTTAGGAACGACATTAGTTATCTATTGCTGCCTCAGAAATTACCCCAGACATTAAAGCTATAAAGCAATAATAAATGTTTATTACCTCCCGCAGTTTCTGTGGGTCAGCAGGTTAGGAAAAGCTTAGCTGGGTGGTTCTGGGGTGGCGTCTCTCATGACATTGCAAAGATGTCAGTCGAGGGCTACCATCGTCTGAAGGCCTGGCCGGCTACAGGATTGGCTTCCACAGGTGGCCCTGTGTGTGCCTCACAAGTTGGTGCTGGACATTGGCAGAAAGCTTCTGTCTAGTGCTGTCTGGACTTCTTCATAAGGCTGCTAGAGAGTTCTTAGGCTTAGGACATGGCGACCTGGCCATTCTTGAGGAGGGAGAATCTAAGAGGATGCAAGACAGAAACTGCCGTATCTTCTAAGTGAGCCCTGGAAATCACACACTGTCATTTCCTCAGGACTCCACTGGTGACCAGGTTGACCCTATTCGGTGAGAGAGGACTATACAAGGGTGGGAGTACCAGGAGGCAAGGACCACCAGAGCCATCCCAGAGGCTGGCTGTTGCAAGAACGAAGGCTCTGGAATCCCAACTCCACCAGTTATAGCTACTTGCCTTCTCTTGTCTCTAAAATGGGAATATCTACACAGGATGTTGTAAGAATAAATGTGGCTGATGTAAACCACTCAGTTCAATGCCCTAATCTTAATAAGTGCTCAGTGTATTAACACAACTGCAAGGTATAGGCTCTGAGCAGCAAGGAAGGGGCTGGGAACCAGGTAAACACATCAGCCTAAAAGTTAATAGGAAAGGTCATACTTGAGTCATTCTTTTATTATTATTATTATTTATTTATTTGTCAGAGAAGAGAGCACACACACAAGCAGGAGAATTGGCAGGCAGAGGGAGAAGCAGGCTCCTTGCTGAGTAGGGAGCCCAGTGTGGGACTCCATCCTGGGATGCTGGGATCATGACCTGAGCTGAAGGCATATGTTTAACTGACTGAGCCACCCAGGCACCCCTACTTGAGTCATTCTGGCTGTGAATTCCCCTATCCCTACTTCCACACAGGCCCGAGATTTCTATCCCAAGGTTAGAAAGATAATAATGGAATTATAGAGGTGAAAGACTAAGAATTATTTGGAGCAGTGTTTCACAGCTGCAGATTGCAACCTTTTAGTGGGCTGTGAAATCAATTTAGAGAGCCATTCCCAGCATGACTACTCCCCAAAGTATGGGCCAGGGACTGTACAGTGTCACCATGGGAGCATGAAAGAAATACAGAATCTCTGATCCTACCAATTTCTGCTGAGTCTAATCTACATTTTAGTATGACCCCCACATGGTTTGAATGCACATCAAAGCTTGAGATGCACTGGACTGGATTTAACTAGGACACATGAGAGCTGTTTGCATGAAGGGGGAGTGATATTCGACAGGTTGTTTATTTTTTAATGAAATAAAAAGTACATTTTTATGAACCAAAAAAAAAAAAAAAACAGAAGCATAGTCTATGTAATATCATTAAGTATTGTTTTGTAAAACTTTGATTTCAATGAGATAATGATACAAACATTGGACATAGTCAAGTGCGTATTGATTTTGCCACATACACATCGTTACTGTGTGCTGGGGTCAAGTATTTTGAAACCCACTGGCACAGAGGCTGTGGTCAAAGAGGCCCTCAAGCCTCTCACTATATTCCAGGGGATTTCTCCTCAGTAACCCTGCCAGGACTACAACCATTTACTGATGGCCTCCTATGTCAGCTACTGTGCTAAGCTCATTGGGGGTGGGAAGTTGGGTAGAAAGTAGGGTGCCAGTGTGGTCTCCAGCCTTAGACATCTTAGAGTCTTGTTGGGACTCAAATATGGATATAGAAGCAATTAGCGAACAGAGTACATTTCATTTATTTCTTTTATACCCTGTGGCAGGAACCATTCTAATGGTTTCACCAATACTGGCTTATTTAAACCTCTTAAACTCTTTGAGGCAGATATGTTTTGGTTTTATTTTTGTCTTTGTTTTTGTTTTTTAGGATTTTATTTATTTATTTGACAGAGAGAGAGAACACAAGCAGGGGGAGTAGCAGGCAGAGAGAGAGAAGCAGTTTTCCCCACTGAGCAAGGAACCCGATGCGGGGCTCGATCCCAGAACGCTGGGATCATGACCTGAGCCAAAGGCAGACACCTAACTGACTGAGCCACCCAGGTGCCCCGAGACAGATATGTTTTTTGTTGTTATGGTTAAATTTATTTTATTGTGGTAAGAACACCTACCGTGAGGTCATTCTTCTTAACAAATTTCTAAGTGTCCAATATAGGATTGTTGACGATAGGGTAGGTGTTATCATCATTGTTTTACAGAAAAAGAAACCAAGGCCCCAGCAGGCTAAAGATTTCATCTGAGGTCACTCGGGTAGTAACATCCAAAAGGATATTTGCTAATAAGTGTGAATTCAGAGTTGGTTGGAGTGTGGGGCTATCCACAGTGAAAAATGGTGTATTTGGGTTAGAGTTAGTGCTGTTGTCTTTGCTATAGACGGAAAACTTGGTGATACCAAGCGCCAGAGAAAACTAGCCTCTTACACTACAGTTGAGTGACTGATACTGTAACATCTTCAGAGAGAAGAGAGAGGGTGCCAGGAATTGTTTCCGATTCCAAATGGTTAGCTCATAACACAGACGATTCCCTTTCTCCGAACAATGATGGGACACCTTGGGATTCTTGTGCAGCCTTCACAGATGTGAAGAGCTAGTAATTATACATCAACTACACTGAGTTTTGTAATGCCATCAGCATGAAGTTGCAATGTAAAGGGTAAAAGAAGGCATTACCGAGAGCAAATATTAACCCCAGAAGTTTGCTTTCTGGAGTTTCAGGAGGATTGAATATTCTTTATCTGGAGACGTCAGAGTTTCCAAGGGAGCCCAGTTTCCCGGTCCAGCAATCCATTGCTAGATAACAGGTTCCACATTTGAGTTATGAAAATATGGTCACCTCGTATGTGTCTGTTAGAGCTAATGACAAATGCCAGTTAGTGTCTTACACAAAGCACTGCGTTCTCTAGCTAATAATTAACTTCACAGTTGAACCATTAAAGAAAGACGGACATTAGGCTTTGAGCGGAAGGTTTCTGGATAAATGTGATTCCCTAGACTGAAACCAACAGACAAAAAAATCAGGCCCGCCATGAAATCCTAACTAGCTTCATTTATGAATGGTGGATAGTGTGTTCTGTAATCAAGACAGAACCTGGAGATGAATCATTAACTTACAAGCCTATGTGTGTGTGCGTGTGTGTGTGTCTGTGTGTTTATTCACACACCCATGCATATATGTATATGTTGATACAAATGTACGTATGTTGACCACATATGTACATATTCCTCCAGCTTTTTCATTTATCAAGGCTTACTGTATACCAGGTACTGGACTAAATACAGGTTTTAATATACTGTATATATTTTATAAGATTTTATTTATTTATTTGACAGACAGAGATCATAAGTAGGCAGAAAGGCAGGCCGAGAGAGAGGGGGAAGCAGGCTTCCTGCTGAGCAGAGAGCCCCATGCGGGGCTTGATCCCAGGACCCCAGGATCATGACCTGAGCCGAAGGCAGAGGCTTAACCCACTGAGCCACCCAGGCGCCACTATACTGTGTATTTAATGTGTGTATGTGTCACATATACAAGATATATATATATATAATCTTATTACACTTTCACAGCAACTCTGTGACATTGTATCATTCTTATTATTCCAGTTTTACAGTGAAGAATTCAGAAGTGCAAAGCCTTTAAGCTCTTTTCCCAACGGCGCATAGCTAACCAGTAACTACTAGGTGTTGTGCCTTAGACATTTTCCTTGGCCCAGGATGTATGCACCTGGGTGTGGCTGCCTGATACAGTGGCATGAACCTTGTCTCGGGAGACAGACAAGATCAGGTCCCAGCTTTTCCACCTACTGAGTGACCCTGTCAACATCTCAAGTCTTTCATTCCTGAGGCTTTTAGATTTATGAAATTAGAGTCATGTTATCCACCTTTGAGAGTTACTTACTCGCTCTGTGGGGAAGATCATATGACCTTACACATGAACTGGAAGGATTCAACATAAAGTCAGCCTCACGTCTAAGATGTATTATGGTGAAAGGACACAGAGAAGGATCATTGCGGGGAAAGACACCTCGGGTGCTGTCTGAAGAAGCCCGGCACAGGATTTCTCTGTCCTCCCTCCTAAAACCATGCAGATCTGGCTCCTTAGTCCAGCAGGGACTTGCCGTAACACATGGGCAATACCTCTGTCCCGCTGGAGCCCACTCGAGACTCAAGTACAAGGTTTTCGCTGGGGGCTGCTCATGGAGGGGCACTCTGCCTGCGTGGCCCGGCACAACTACCCACACTGCAGACTCTCAGAAGGAAAGCACATGTTCTCCGTAAATCACAGAGTTTGTACAAACAATCTAGGCAGGCTGGTACAGCTGTGTA